TTGGATCTTGGATTTTGAAGAAAGAAGGATGTTGCTGGACAGCTTGACCCCTCGTCAGTGTTTTGTCCATATCTCATGAACCGTAACTCCGATTAACGAGATTCAAAATGTTCTGAAAAGTAGACGCAATTTCGGACGACTTTCGTGTTTTGCAAAAATGCTGATTCGAAACGTACTCAGCAAGTAGTGTCGATTACTCGGCAAGTTGTATCGAACTTTCGCGATTCTGGACGCGCTGACTTGCCGTACACGGGTTTTAAGTGATGTACTCGGCGAGTAGGTCACTGGACTCGCCGAGTAGCCTCTGTTTTGTGAAAATCTATATAAAGGGACTTTCAGATCGATACCCTAGCATATAGATGAACCCTTGGAGGCCAATTGTCAACTAAAGGTGCTGCTGGAGCGTAGGAAGCAAGGGAATCAACCCTACATTCAATTTTAAGGAGAATCAAGTCAAAATCAAGTTTACTCTTACCTAATCTCTTGTTTGAACTATGTTTTTACCAATTGATTTCGTTTTTGTGCTTGTTCCTGCTGTAATCATGAGCTAAAAACTCATAACTTCTGTTTAGGTAGATGAATTTGTGAACATGGATTGATTATTTGATTAGGATTAATTTTAATTGGTGATTATGTTTTATTAAGCTTGTTAAAGAACCTTATGTGTTAAAAATAACTATTCTTTTGTTAATAAATTAGTAATTAAGTTGTATGAACATCTCTTAGTTATTAATTTCATATGATTGATTGTGGCCACATAGTTGTATGTCTAGGAATCACGAATGTGAAACTAGAATTAACTAGAAGATAGGTAAGTTAATGTGTGAGATTGTTTGATGAACATCAGCAAGAGGTTAATTGAAGGGCCAATTTAATTAACCATTACAAGTCTTATTTAACCCGAATCAATAACTAGGAAATTCGTTAATTTAGACAACTGGCCACTTCTTGAGTTAATTTGTTTCCTAAGGATTAGTAATAGCAAACGTGAAACTAATCATCTTAGTCGGTAGCCAATGAAGAATTAATCCGATACATTGAAATCATCCATGGGAACAAATGAGTCGAACCTAAACAGAAGTCCTCTTTATTATTGAATTTAGTTGATTTTTATTTGCTTAGCTCTTAGTTTCTTAGTTTAAGTTTTAATTAATTGTTTAAGTTTCTAGTCTTGCAAAACTAGAGAAAACCCCCTTTCTATTACTTGTTTTATTTAGATAATATTAGCATTTATTTTAATTGTTAACGTTCCCTGTGTTCGATACCCTACTTGCTTGAACTATATTACTAATCGATAGGTACACTGCCTTTCGTGTGTTTATTTTGTGTCTAAGTTAGTAGGATTAAAACTAGTTGGTTTTACACACATCAGTTACCATGTGCTTGCACGCTTTCTGTTTACTTAATTTTCCGATATAAGCATCACAATTTGTATTGCTTCGGGTTACTAAGAGGTTCTGTTTCAAACGAAGCTCTTGATATAATAGTAGGAGAGCACCAAAGGTTAAATGTGTCAAAGTTAGACTCCTCAAATTGTAGTTGCAAACTCCGTACCAGTTGTGGGTTACCATGTGCTTGCATGCTTTCTGTTTACTTAAGCTCAGGTTAGTATGTTCAATTACAACATATATAAATTGTTAAATATTACAAAAATATTTATTTTGTATTTTAATATAGGTGATGAAATACCCTTGGATTTAATAGATATCTTTTGGAGAAAGCTTAGTATTTCTGATACGAAGCCTGAAAAAAAAAAGGCAATATTTGTTGCGACGATGAAGTTGAAAAGTATAAAGAAGATTTCAAAAAGCAGACAGAAGCAGGAAAAAAATTTATTTGAAAAAACTAAAAGAGATATACGATTCGCGCACAATTGATGTTGGAGAACCCACAATTCAAAATAAGACCCGCGGACGACCGAGTATGAAGAAACAACATAAAAAGAATGTCAACCCTCCAAATCAAGCTTCTCCTAGATGCAACGACTCTACCACATCAGAGTTCATTGGGTTGGATTTAAATAAAGAACCTGAAAGGCATAATTATTCGTACGACATTGACTTAAATGAAGAACCACGAATGCATGATCCATTCCTAATGAAGAGTATTCCTGATGTATTTCATGATTACATCGACAAGATACAAGATGTACTTGGTGATGGAAACTGTGGGTTTCGAGCGGTAGCTGTTAGTCTAGGGCATAGTGAAGACCAATGGCTATACATTAGGCAACAATTGCTTGAAGAGTTAGAAAGTCAATTTTATGCATACCAACAAGTTTTTACTGATGGGTTCAATGAGGTATACGAGTCTTTGTGTTGGTTCGAGTCACATGCATATTTGCGACATTGGATGATTATGCCTTTGACTGGTTACTTGATTGCCAACAAGCTTGGTGTGATTGTTCATTGTCTAAGCCATGAACAATTTGCAACCTGCTTCCCTCTTTGGAGAGGTCCTGAAGAGTTTCAATCTTACCGAAACATTACAGTGGCACTTGTAAGCAGACATTATATTTCGGTGTCTTCAAAAGGAAATTACCCAATGCCTCCAACCACAACATATTGGAATGCTCATAAAAGCTCGTCTGCATCTTTCTAGCAAACTATGTATTGGTCGCGTTTCGAATTATACAATCAACATAGGCCTCGTAGTTCTGAAATACTTTGGATACATATCAAGGATTAAGTATGAATGTAATTGAACTCTTTGATATGTATTGCGTTCAAAATTTTGTTTTATTATTAGTATGTCATATTTGTAGTCTTTTGTTATAATATTTTTAAATAAAACAATTTAAATAAATTACATACAAATAACCTAAAAAATATATTAAAAAAAATTATATTTAACCTATTTTATTTTGCAAGTTTAACAACCTAAAAAATATATAAAAAATTATATTTTACCTATTTTATTTTGCAAGTTTAAAAAAAATATAAAAAAAAAAAAATTATATTTAACATATTTTATTTTTCAAGTTTAAAAAAGATTATTAAAATACTTTGACTTAATAATTATAAATAAAAGACATAAAATTAATATGTAATTATGATTATTAAAAAGTAATTATTAGTATAATGATTTGTTTATTTGAAGAAAAAAGTAAGGTAACGATTAAGAGGGTCCTTTAAAACTAGGGTAAATTACACCGTTCGTCCCTCGTGCAGATGCCAAAAAACACGTTTAGTCCCTATTTTTAAAAATTAACTCGGACAATCCCTTGTTTGTTTTAAACTTACACACTTCATCCCTATTGATATGAAATGACTATTTTGCCCTTAATAATTTCATTTTTCATTTTTTATTTCTTTATTAGTTTAAATTTTAAAAAAATAATAATAAAACAAATATCCTCACCCCTCCCCCTCCCCTTCCATTTCCCTAGCTTCCGCAACAAGATTCGAAAGCTCCACCACATGTCACCGCCAGCTCCTCCGACACCACCACCTATCAGCATCAACACCTATGTCACCACATCCTATCACCGCAAACACCTTCCCCTTCCTTTCCCTAGTTTTCTTCTAACTTCGTCTCCTTCTTCTCACCCATTCCTAACAACCATCCAAAACCCCAAATCGGACCCTAAACCACCATCCCATATCTTCGTTCTCCCCATCTGCCTTAAGAACATTAGAGACCATCACCAATTTCAATCTATCTGCCTCTTGGTGAAACCCAATACCATCCTAATAATCAAATTGATACATCCACTACTCCCATAGAAAGTTATTTCTATGAATCATATCCATCACCATCGAAACAACAATTCAATATTTGAAACTTTAAAATACCAACTAGATTCAATCAACACAAATGACACCCAAAAGCAATCAAAAGCACGAGTTCACAATATCTCATTGCAATCGAAGTCTCAACATATCTTCATCTCAAAGTCGAAATAAGTAACCGATCAAAATCAAGTCCAAGATGAATCCATCGAAATAAAATCAAACCTAACATGACCTGAAACTCAAAATTGAAATCAAAATCAATTTCTAGATTTGATGACAATAAAGAAGGAGGAAACATAAAATCAACATCGAAATCAAGTATTTCTCTCTGTATTGTGGTACATCTTCATCTCACCTGTTTCCTCTAGTCTCTTTTTTCCCTTTCATCAATTCTATCTCCCTCAACCTATTTCTCTCTCAATACAGTGTTACATCTCCATCTCAATTGGATTCTATCTTGATATCGCATCTGAACACATGTGGGTGTGGCTGTAGGTGTGTATCTGCTTTGGGTTACTCTATTATCTTTGATCAGTAACAATATCGTGAGGGTTTCAGAAGTGATTGGGGCAGATGGGTTGGGGAAACTAAGAGTAGGTGTTGAACAAGAATGCAGAGAGAGAGAGAGAGAGAGAGAGAGAGAGAGAGAGAGAGAGAGAGAGAGAGAGAGAGAGAGGCGTCGAAGGTAATGGTATTTTGCAGTTAAATTGAGAGAGATAAAGATGAGAGAGGGTTGTTTTTTTTAATTTCTTTTTTGTAAGTTATAAATATTAATAAATAATATTATATTAGTTAAAAAATAAATATCCAAGGGCATTATGGTCATTTTAAATGTGGCGTGGACTAAATTTGCAACAAAAAAACATATTAGGGACGAAGTGTGCAAGTTTTAAGCAAACGAGAGACGGCCCGAGTTAATTTTTGAAAATAGGGACTAAACGTGCTTTTTGGCACCTACCCGAGGGACGAATGGTGTAATTAATCTTAAAACTAATAAAAGGTATAATTAGATGGACCTATTAATAACACGCATCTACCAAGTTGGTAACTGTCACGTCCATCATGGTTCGACCAGAGACTCTTCGTCGTGGGATTCTCACCATATCACTTCTCGGTCCCTATTTAAGAACAAACCCATGAGGCGTTTCCTTCATCTATATCGTACACGTAATAGAACAAAAAATATCAAGAACGACAGGACTTCGAAGAATCAAACTAGGTTCACAGGGTTTAGAGGTATCTGCTCAGGGTTTGGTTTGTAATGGTATGTCCGCTTTCTATGGAGCCCCGAAACCAGAACCTGAAATGATCAAACTCATCCACCACGCCATTAAATCTGGGGTTACTTTTCTCGACACCTCAGACTTCTACGGCCCTAAAACCAATGAGATACTCCTCGGCAAGGTGGCACGGGATCTATTCATCTTTGTAATCAGTGAATTTATTTCGGTGCTTTTATTACTTACGTTTATTGATTATTAAACAACATTTATACAGGCTTTGAAGGAAGGTGCGAGGGAGAATGTGGAGCTGGGTACCAAATTTGGAATTAAATACGAAGGTGATGCGATGGTGATACGTGGAGATCCGACCTACGTAAGGGCTGCATGTGAAGCGAGCTTGCAGCGACTTGGTGTGGATTGCATTGATCTTTATTATTAGCACAGGATTGACAGTAATTCCTACACTTTACACGATCCTTGTTTTAATATTTCATATATATTTCCGAAGTCTTGAAAGTTATCATGTATTCATCTTTTCCATTTTTTGCATTAATTTTACATGTTTGAGCTTGCAATTTAGGTTAGAATATAAAATAGAAAACATGTTGTAATAACTGGAGGAAAGATTAAACCAAAGGAAGATGTTTATATTCTGCAAAAAGATAAAAAAAATTGAAACAGCAATCTTTCGTTAAAAATCATAACTGGAAATCCTATTAATCTCCTCAAATGTTTTATTTGGTTGTTAGATGGGAGAACTAAAGAAGCTAGTGGAAGAAGGAAAAATCAAATATATCGGATTATCGGAAGCATCAGCATCAACAATAAGAAGAGCTCATGTTGTGTACCCATTAACAGCCATACAACTAGAATGGTCGTTGTGGTCAAGAGATGTTGAAGAAGAAATCATTCCTACTTGCAGGTTCGCTATCCCATCTATTCTTTTCCCCATGCATGCTTCCTTTTTCTTTTTGTAATTTTATCATTAATGAAGTATAAAAAAATCCAATGTTCTTAATTATGTATATATATCATACTCTACTAGAGAACTTGGGATCGGAATTGTTGCATACAGTCCCCTTGGACGGGGGTTCCTCTCATCTGGCCCGAAGTTGGAAGATAGTGACATCCGTAAGGTTTGTTGGTATCTCTTTGATTACCCCAAAGTGGCATAATATAAAACCGGCAAAAATTTTTTTTTCTAAGGTTTAGTTTAAATTTTGATTTTTTATTTATTTATTTATTTTTTTGGTCATGTTTATTCCTAGAAATTGCCCATTCTAAAACTAAAATAAGTATTATACCTTTTTATCTTTCTTTTTACATTTTTTTAATATCTATTTTAATATTTTAATAATTTAAATAGTAGAAGACGACCCACACATATCTCTCTCCTCACACACACACACACAAAAATTAAAGGTTCGGTTTTAAAAGATACACACAAAACCAATCTCTCTTGTTCTCCCATTCATGTTCAAGCTTCTGAAGAACATAATTTTTAAGCTTTAGAACACTAATGAAAAGGCATATCCCGAACATCAACGTGAAGAAGATGATCAAAGTTTTTTGGTTTTTTGGATGTTCTTATCTCAACATGAAAAAAAAACAAAAGCAAATCTTAAATCCATGTATGTTCTAAACAAATCAAGACTCAAAATCATGTATGCTTTTTCATCTTCACCACATATACACATTTCCATTATGTATGTGTTCAGTTATCCTTTATCTTCTTTCTAATCTCATTCATTTCCAAGACTGTATTCAAAGCTCAAAAGTTAAAAAATACTTTGATCTAACATCTCTTTGTCAAATCAGATACAAGATGGAAAGATCAAAGCATATAGAATCAAATTTTGTTCATAACATTATCAAAACAAATCAGGAATGAAGCATCACAAAAATCGAAGTAGTATAACCATCCATTGATTGAAACATCAGTCGATCATCCTTCATCTTCTCTCTAGACTCATTCTGCCAAACCGAACTTCAACTCCATCGAATCCAAACAAAATCATAATTTCTATCATGCCATTGAACTGCATAACACATAAAAAAATCATGCAGTCAAAAACTCCTTCCTATTAATCTGTATTGCCTACCCATTTCCAACCTTACAAAAAAATGAACGTAGTGAAAGATGATGGATAAGAGGGTGTTTGTTATTACTTTTTAAACAACTTTTAGACTTTTAACTTTTAGGAAAAATCAAAAAAAAAATCTAAAAGTTCTTTGGAAAGTTATAAAAGATCTTTTGAAATAACTTTTGACAAAGAACAAAATTCTTCTCTTTCAAAAGTCATCGAAACGTGACCTTTTGTAACTTTTCAAACAAATAGAAAGTAAATTACATTAATATCTTTAAACTTACCAATCATTGAACACTCTCCTTACTCAACAACATTAAAGTCATTTTTACCCCTCAAAAGCTAATCCAAACAAAATTTAAAAAACTTCTTTTACCAAAAGTCCTTTTGCAAAAAGAACTTTTGAAGCTAATAAATAATCTCAAACATCCTCTAATTTATGCTATCAAAAACTCCTTTTGCTTAGGGTCTATTTCTTACACCCAAACAACACCTAACAAAACAAAAGGATTTGGGTAAGGTTTAAATGTCATCACTGCCCACTACTAATGCCTCAGTGGTGGTGATTTTCGATTAGTGGTGGCCGATGGCGGAAGCCACCATCTCAGTGGTGGTGATTCTAGACAAAAGAAAGAGAAAAAGAAAGAGATTAAGTTTTTTACCTTGAACAAGGAGCACCATTAGAAATCGCAGCGACCACCCTCTAGTAGCCCTCGTTTAGGGATGAATGGATTTGTTATGCCATATATTCTTGTTTGATTTAGGATTTTTTTTAGTTCCATCAATGAAAGTTATGAAGATTAAAGAAAGCAGACACTAGGTGTGTGTGAGAGAGAGGCCTCTTTTTTTGTTTTTACTACTAAAATTTTCAATAAAAGAGAAATATGTTTAAGAAAATAGAAAAACAAATTAAAAAGATAGATTAATCCTTTTAAGTTTATCTTGGACTAATTCCATAAACAAATTATTCTAAAAAACATTCAAACCAAAAAAGTTTTGATCTAAACTCAGAAAAAATAAAGAAAAAATAAATACCATATACACATTTTTGCAATTTAGTCTCAAAACCCAATCAATATTTATTATATTATGTATAATAAACGATGTCAACTTTATAACATTATATTAATTGGAAACTTTGATTATTTTTTAATTGTTTATAATAAAATCTCTAAATTATTTAATTAATGTGAATTAATACAAAAAAAAAAAAAAAAAAAGCTTCTACCTATAAATAAAGTTATAAAGTTTAAAATTAGTTAACAATAATAACTAATAATAGACGGTTTTATAATGAATTAAGATCTTTGATCTTAAAACCTTTTATATGGATGGTCATCAACATTGTTTTAGTATATATATATATATATATATATATATATATATATATATATATATATATATATATATATATATATATATATATATATATATATATATATATATATATATATATAATTAACAATAACAATAACGGATAGTACAATAAAATTGTAAATTATATTACATTACTAATGGTTGACATTTTAAAAAATCATCATCCAAATTAATAAATAGTTAAATAAGGATGTTTTAAGTTACTTAATCATAATAAATGGTAAAAATAAATATTAAATCAAGAATTATATTTTCTTTTATTCATGCACAAGTCAACAAGTCATAAGTAAAAGTCTTGAAATAAAAAAAAAAATAATCAAATAAATATATTTTAAATTAATTAACAAAACTATACTTCAAAGTTAATTTCAAATCAAGAATTATATTCAGTCCAACTGGCCGATAGAGGCCATTAGATGATGTGATCCAAATATAAATTATTTTTATCATTATTATAAAAGAAAATTACAATTTTATATATCATAAAATTTATTACTAAATAATTAATTTCGATGATAAAGTACGGAAACTATGATAAGCCGTATTTATCAAATTTTAACCACATAATCTAAGTACGTATAACATGTGCATATTTTCCTATTATTATAAAATGACTTGCATCATATTTACTAAACTTCTATAACTATTGAACTTTTAACTATTAGAGACAACCACTAAAGATTTTTTTTTAACTTATATCTTAAATTATTTATCTTTACACGTTGAATTTTAATAGTATACTAAACGCATTTATTATTTAAATTTAATACTAACTCTTATGTTTTCAATATAATATTTAACTTATTGATTTAAATATAGTATTAAGTACAAAACATATATTAATTTGTCAAATAAATTTTAAAAATTTACAAACAAGTTATTTATTAAGAAGTTAAATAACTTTAAAAAATATTAAAAAAAAAAAAAAAAAAAAAAAAAAAAAAAAAAACTCAATATTAAGTTAGAAGTTCAAAAAAAAAAAAAATTTAAAAACTTTTAATTTTAACAATTTATCAATAACCATATTTTTTTAACTTATATCAAAATCCGTTCTTTATTAAGCTCATTAATTTGATTTTTTAATGCTTTAAACTAGTTTGTTATTTAAAATATATTACCAAGGTAATTGTTAATTTAAATATGATCCTAAATATAAACATAAATCAAAATATCAAATAAATTAAAATATATCCAAATACTATTTCTTTATATAGTTGAAAAAAGTTAAAAATAATATAAAACTTAAAAGCTACATGGAAATGTCAATTTAACAAAAAAATAATAATAAAGTAAAAATGTGAAATAATATATTTTTAATTTAATTAAAAATAATAATACCGAGAGATGTCCAAATAAGTTAATTAAATATAATTAAAATAAATAAATGTGCAACCCGTAGCGAAATGTCATTAAGACAATGTAGTTTTATTATATAACTAGACGAATGCCCACGCGTTGTACATAATCACTTATATAGTTAAAATATTTACAAATATATATTTTTTTAAATATAACAATAACGTTGTTGTTAAATTTGATATAATAATTTGTATATACTAAATTGATATAATATATTGATTATTTTGAATTATATAATAATATATACATTTATTATAACTTCATAATCACAATCGTTTGAATGACTTCTACCCGCGAGTTACAAATGAATAAAATTAAATATAATATATGATTTGATGTTAGTTATAGTTGTTTTTATTGTTAATTAATTTTTTAAAATTTATTTGCTTAATGTTTTAATTTTTATCATTATAATTATTTAAAACATCAAATACTGTTTTTTATTTTAAAGCTAATAATATAATCATTTATATAGAGTTGTTTTTAACTATTGTTATTGTAAGTTATTTTAAGTTACTTATTTGGAAACTATTAATGATTATAAAAATATATTTAAGAAATGTTTTAGTTAAATTGAGATTACAATTTAGTTATTATTTTTATCACTACAATTTATCACTTTTAACTACTTACAAAATATTCTTTAGTTTTTTTAAATGGAACTAAAATTTATATTTGAGTTGACATTGTAGTGCGCATAAACACATATATAGTTAAAGTCTTTACAAATATATATTTTTTAAAATATAACACTAACGTTGTTGTTAAATTTGGTATAATAATTTGTATATTAATTTGATATAATATATTGATTATTTTGAATTATATGATAATATATAAATCTATTATAACATCATTATCTCAATCGTTTGAATGATTTCTACTCGCAAGTTACACATTAATAAAATTAAATATTATATGTGGTTAAATATTATTTATAGTTGTTATTTTTAACTATTTTTTTTTAAATTTATTTGCTTAATGTTTTAATTTCTATCATTACAATTATCTAAAACATCAAACATTATTTTTTGATTTTAAAAGTAACAATATAATCATTTATATAGAGTTACTTTTAACTATTGTTATTATAAGTTATTTTAAGCCACTTACTTGAAAACTTTTAAGGATTATATGAATATATTTAGGAAATATTTTAGTTAAACTGATATTACAATTTAGTTTTTGCATTTATCACTATAATTTATCACTTTTAACTATTTACAAAATATTATTTGGTTTTTTTCGTGGAACTGAAATTTATATTTAAGTTGACACTGTAATGTTATATTTAAATTAACAATTTAAGTATTTTGTCTAAACTGTTAAAAAATTATAACTTTAAACTGATA